GAATGGTAATTTATAATCAGTCACAAGAACGTCGAATCTGAATCACTTGAAAAAAAACACGGGGGTGCTTAACTTTTTTCCAGGTGTATATTTGTGGTAATGTAATTTTATTTAGCATACATATTAAAATTATGCATATGAGAATATCTTTATTATTTAGTAGTATTATTCTCACAAAGCAATAAGTAAATCTTATATCCCCAAGATAACTAACATCACATAAGTGTATCTAATCATAATATATGAACATATTTTTTGCAAGACTTACATTTTAGGAAGTATAGAGAAAGAAATAGTTATTATTATTTATTATTGAGAATCATGTTCAGGCAGGTTCATCATCACCCTACTATAATGTCACATACCTCTGGTGGTTCGCTTGCGAACCACATAATATCTACCCAAACAAATGAACCTACCACTGATGATTCTGCAATTTTGTTACTGATGGCATTCTACATAGATGATATCATCACTTTCCCTAGTGGCAATCATTGAAATTATCCACCCTGACGGCACACTTTTGAACTACTTGTCCCTTGCGATGCTCTGTGTAACTATTCGTCTATAGTGTCACAGATCACATGACCTTCCGCCTTAAAGGATACCACTCCACTGAGCGGCAGTCATTCATCTACATTCTACACTCACTGATGACCAGGACCGGATAAAAACTCTTGGGAAGGGAGCAAGCTAAGACAAACAAAGGGCCCCTTTATATAGGTCCATATCTTTTATAAAATTATAGATATACAAATAGTATTTGCATGTTGAACATTACAAATTAGACAAACAAGATAGCAACAGCACTAAATATTTATTGTTGTGTAATATATATATAATTCTTAAAATAACTTTATATTTTAAGAAAAACAAAAATGATATTAGATAAAATTAAAAATGAATCACGATTCCATCTTTATAAAGATCTGTGAACATTGAACAACCATCTGATCTTCAAGATCTAAATGAACTAAAATAAGCTTTCGAAGAAACTTAGCTAGAAGTCACAAGCTTGCAGACTGCGCATGTCTATTTATCGCTAATTTGAAACTCGTCTAGTCATGACAGGAGCAGAAAAATGGAAATTATGAACAGTAATCATAGTCATTGACCACTTGAAATGTATGCTGACTATGAAGAAAGAGGGGAGCAAACTATAGATTGCTTATTAACAGACCACTCACTCTGAGGCAGCTAGGTTACCTCAGGTTAGGCCGGTGAACTTTGAGCACAGTTCAGATAGTTGCTGCTCTGCAAGTTCCAGAAGAAATACACAGAACACCAGGTGTATGAAGTTAGAATATTTATTCACGCTAAATTCACCATATAGGAATACAAGATTTGACACATTTGAAAAAAACCTAACGGCTAATAATAACAATAATGTTATATATATATACAACTTCTAATTAAAATACATGTTTTACGATACAAATATTTTTTTCGACCTGAAAGTTTAGTAACATTTATAAGAAGCAAAGGCAGTCCTAATTATTTTAATGTTTAGGTAACGTCCACATTGGGTACCAAAGTTTCCTTTTTAGCAAATATTTTCAGAATGCCACATAAACTGATGCATTTTAGCATACTGAAGGATCAAATTTGTTCTTCAATGTAATGTTATTGGCAGGAATTAAAAAAAGTTCTAAATCAATCATTTCCTACAAAAGGCATAAGCTATTTATTTGAACTGTTTTCTTGGTGACTGTTATTATTACTAAAATCGCTACTTATTCATCTCATGTTTAATTTCATCAGAGCTAAATAGATTGATAACGATTAAACCAGCATGATTTTATCACTGTACTGGGATGTCAGTGGTTCAAATGTATTGTTTTTGACGATTAAGTGATTTTTTTTTCATAATTTATGGAACTCGCATTAAACGACTCCCTACTTTAATCTTTATTTCGCTGATTTAATATTTCTATTTTTTTTCAGTATTACTGTTCAATACTGTAATTTGACGTAAATATACTATTGACGGATTATAAACATGTTATCCGAAAGCTATATATATATATATATAAATCAAAATTACACTATCCAATAACCCTATTATTGACAGAGTAATGTTCAAGCAAAAAACCTTTTCTATCCAGTGAGGTTTCTTGAATTCAAAAATTAAGCAAGTTTAACAGTAGTAAATCGAAAGTCAAGTACAAACCACTGAGGATGCAATCTGGTACACACCATAGTATAATAGCCTTCAAAAGTTCTGTAATCAAAAACCTAGTAGCGCATACAGTAGTATAGTAACTTTTAAAATATGTAATCAAAGAGCTGGTAGTACATACCGTAGTACAGTATTTATGTATATAAACTTTTGAGGGTTACTGTACTACGGTAATCAAAGAGATAATATAATGAATCATAATACACCAGTTACATGACTTGTTGGGAATTACAAGTGAAACTGATGAATTGAACTTGAGCTTTCCAGCTTCAGCAGATTAAAAACAAATTTCTTATACGAAACAATTTATTAATTATTCAGTCCTTTTTTTGTTAAAAAAGTTTCATGTCCAAAATCTAAAAGGAGTAAATACGATTACATTTATTATATTGTAATAAAACTTTTCCATAAGAAAAAACAAAGTAGTTGCTTCCTGTTGTGACAGACTAGATGTACTCAAATGTCACTGGACGAATAAAACAGGTTTCAAAGTATAAATATACTTAAAATATCTTTTATCATTGAACTGAGGTTGATAAGAAACGTATTTCCTTTAAACTACAATCTGTTTTGAACAAAAAATTAGTTATTAAATTGGGGAATATACTGTTTTTACGTATTAATTTTATGATGAATTTCACTGCCAACTGCTAAGATTCTAAACAACATGTACAGTAATACAATTTTAGTTGTTGTTGTTGTAAGTATGAATAATAAAATGTGAGGAAATGGTGTACGTGAACAAGCACTAATGCTAACTAATGATTTCTACAACTTTGTAAGTTGAAAATATGATAAATGTTAGCAAATTTTTTATGAGTGATCAAATTGCAAAATATCGCAAAACGAATTTAGTTTAGGTGAGCAAACTGTATTATTCTTTTGGAAATTGCATAATTTGTAAGCTAAATACACCTATATAATCCATCAATTTACACAACACTGATGACGATACTGTGTACAAACATCTTACTCTTCCACAGATTCTAACTTCTGGGTGCTAAATATACAAAATACACCACAGGAGGTACATTTTGAGGGCAAAACGCATAATATGGTTCAGCACATATAACGTTTTTCCTGCACTTCTTAAAATTTCCAACATAATGCGTGATTTGGGTCTGCTAACACAACGCCTACCTACGGAGAAATCCTGAGACTGTAGGGTACAGTGGGTCCTGCAACACACGTATTGATTTGTTTCGTTTTTTTTTTTGTAGCTCTTACAACACGATGTTCACATAGTTCCCGTAAGGCAGTTACTTAATTTGTGAGCATACGCCTACATTTCCAAAAGGTAAAAGATGCAGATACCTATACTCAAACTTAATTTTCCATCTTTACCATCGCGAATTTTCAAAATTACACCATTTATTAATTTAACTTGTTTAACCTGAATACGTTCAAATAAAATCACGATAGAATATCATACCACCGAAATACACGAAAATGAAGAAAGGTATAGTGATATATATTACATAAGTGCATGCATGTTGATAGTTTTTTATTTATTCATCAGTTAATATACTTCTGTATTACATATTCTGTAAATGTTAATGAAACTTGGAAGAATTACACTCAAAGAATCACACGACAATTTAAACAAATACACAAGATTGATAAACTATTACAAAAGTAAATGCATTCATCAGCCTTGTATAGTCCAAACTAAACAGGAGGTAAAATTATAATCAAAAATATTTCAAAATACACGTACCTATAGAAAACACAGATTAAAAGTATCATGCTATGATTTGTGAAACAAATAACTACAGAAATAAACAGTGTGTCTACTAACACCAACTGATAAAAAATTAATACATTTTCTCCAAGTTTATATTATTATTTATTTTTGGCAAAAGGTTTCAATCGTTTAACTTTGTTAACTTTTCTACATTATTTTCAATTAAGTTTAGGTTGTTATATCACACATTCTTTTGGCTTTCATTTGTAACTGCCACCAAGATGTTTTTTTAAATATTTTCATTAATTTTAAAATAATATGTATAAATAATAAAAGTGAGCAATTAAGGTTTTATAAAAAAGTTTCGTTTTTTACAGGTAGTGAACAAATTCTTATGAAAATATCAAGCTATACAAATTGTCCGAAACTGTATTTTCCATTAGTGTGATATCAGTTTAAAGGGTGAAGGTCATATTAAATTCTTTATAATAAAAGATATGAAAAAACTATTCAAATTGACCAAACGTAATTCCGATTTAATAATAGGGTGTTTTAAAAAATCATAAGCAAACCACACACACACTATACATTAGGCCTATTGTAAAAGATTAATTTGTGTGATCATTCTACCTGAAAGACCAAACTTTAATTGTAAAAAAAAAAAAAATTACTCTCTTTCCTCATAATCTAGACCCAACATGCAGTTCTTCTTCAATGCAATTAATAACTTCTGGTCAGTATAAAATTACTCTCTACTTTCTAACTATTAAACAAAATCTTTTAGCATTAGCTTGAAATTCAAATTGTGTATCTATGATCCTAGTCCAAATACATCAAATTATTGTCTGCAACTTACACCACCATCAATCACTATTAAATCTAACAAGATTTTAAAGAAATACTCCACCATAGTCTGACCCCACTTCTATTCTGTCAATTTGACTCAATTGGTTTTATGGTTGAGGAGAAAATAAATCTATAGCAATGTTAACTGAAACCTTGGAAACAGAAGAAAAATTGTTTATTTTAAATCAACTTTTTCTTATTATTGCTCAAAGACTTGTTATATTGTACAGAGTATAATTTTTATTTTAAAAATATTGAATGCATAGTTTCAAAATCTGGATACCATTATTTTCAAGTTGTAAGTATTATTTCCTTCTTTAAAGGGGCTGAATAAAGATGTAAAGAACATTTTAGTTTGCTGAAAAGGAAAATGGATATTTTACTAATTTTAGAAATGGTACAGAATACATATGTATGCAAGAAACTCAACCAAGTCACTGAATAAATCATGTTAGAATTCCAGGCAAATATTAATTTTACCCTTTCAACTTACTGAATGTGAGGATTACTTCCTGTTAAGTTGATTATTACTTAAATTCACGACTCATATTACAAATGTGATTAAAAACAATCAAATACAAATAAAAGAAACTACAATCCTGATTTAGATTGGTCCTTGAAAGTGGAATGGAATGCACAGGTTAATTTAAGTATAATAAGACCCAATAGTAAATTTATTTCTTCCATGGAGAAATTTAAAACATTATTATTTTAAGAGACCTTTCCAGGTAATTATAAAATTTAAATGTGTTGTTTGAAAATTACAATTTTGAAGATTGTCAAAATACACACAAAGTATAAAAAATTTAAGGTATGTTTTATAATTACATTTTACATAACTATCATGAAGTATAATTAGAATGAACTGTTGACACTTTCTTTCATCCATCTCAAGTTATTACAGAAAAGTTTTACAAAAAATTCAACATATAGTATTAAATAAAAAGAAAAACTTAAAACCTTTATGATGACTTTCAACCAATTACGTTTCTTGAACTTTCAATATACTATTACTAAATATAAAAGCTTTTAGAACAAATACTATAAAGACTATCAATATTTATTGCATTATAGTTGTATAAATTTAATTCCTAATTTATTTTCTACTTATAAACAGAACAAAATGATTTTAAACAAAATCATCTGAGCTTTCCAAAAGTATTAATGATTTTGTTAAAGATTTCACAGCAACAGAAAAGCATGACTAAAGTAAACATTTTAGTAAAACTTATGTATTAAGAAGTGACGATTATTATTTAGTATATTTATAAATTACATGCATGAATTTAAAAAAAAACAACTCATATCTTAAATTAAAAGTTTAATGAACCTAATAATAAAGACATAGTTGAAACTAAGTTGCTCACTCTCACTAGAGTCATTTAATTACAGCCTTAATTTTTGTCAGATTCACACAGAGAAGCTTATTAAGTAAAAATTCTATAAAAAAAAAGGTGCATCAAGAATATACACTCACCATACAGGAAGTGTAACATATGAGTGAAGAACTTTGCATAAAAAGTTACACAAAAATTACTGGAAAGTATGATTGTCTGCTGCAATTCTACTTTCATAAAATAAGAGAGACCTACAACAGTCTCGTGTCTCACAAAATTTACACAGTACTGTACAACACTTTCAACTTGCATAAATGCTGCTGGCTATTTAACAAAAAATTTCATGAGGGTCCTTAGTCTTGGCCCATTTGTCTTCTTTAGTTTGATCCTTTGGTTTCATGTGTTTTTCCCCGCTTTCTGGTACTGTTGCTGGTAAAGATGTGGGTTTGTTTAACAGTGTGGATTCTGTGTGCATCTGGGCTGGACTGCTGCCTGCTCTGATGTGTAATGGAGTGTGTAATGAGGATTTTGAGGGTGTTACTGCACTCTGTGACCGTTGAGGGACTTTTCTTTCACCTTCACTCATTTGACTCATTCCTAATGGTGAAGATGAACTAGCAGCTAGTTTCAGTGGCAACATCTGTTGTGGTTCTGACTGGCCGCCACTTCCTAGTCCATTGGTAGCAGTACAACCACTTGCCAACTTAAGTGGAAGTTGTTGTTTGATAAAGGAGTTAGCTAATGGCCTTTGCATGTTGGCAGCACTACGTAGATGCATAGGCACTCCTTCTCGTAACTCTCTCTTATTACCAGACAATAGGCTTGAGGAACTGTAAGAAGCCCGAAAACGAGACTCTTGTTTGACTTTGTAGTCACGTATATCAGTATGTGATGTACTGCAAAGGGCAGTCGTTGAAAAAGTTCCTTCCTCATTCAAGCTTTGTTGAAATTCCACCCCTGCCCTTAGAGATTGAATCTTGCTTGAGGAACCCCAGGTATCTTTTCCAGTTGAATGTGAAACCATAGACTTCAATTCATCTTTCTGATTGTCATTGTCTTTAGCTTGTCCAATGTTAACCACAGTCATTGTAGGACTAAGAATAATTCCTTCTTTCTGTAAAGCTTCAAGTTTTCTGTACAGCAGCTCTCTCTGATGTTTTATATCTTCTTCTTCTTTCCTAACTTGTTCCTGAATAAAAATGTTAAAGAACAACTTGTATTCATACAATTATTGAGAGCAAGTAAAATATAACCAGCCAACAAAAGCTTCTGCTATTAATTTCATTTCTAAGATTGCTAATACAAAATTCACTTAGCATTATTTAGTTTCTAATGTTAGAAGTATTATGGGGGCAAAGATAAATATAAAATAAGATGAATCACTTGCCAAACAAAAGATAATTTATCGGACCATGTTTTACATAACAACCTTTTATTTGGTCTGAAGCTATATATTTATATCTGTAAATGCATATTATGGTTTCATAACAATGAACAGCATGATCTTGGCTTGTGCTTGTTGTACTAAATTATGTGATATAAAAATGGTGGTTGAATTTTTTAACAAATTAATGCAGCAAAACAAAAGTTAATAATTTCCTACACTGAAAATATAGTTCCGACAGATATTTTCCACCTCTCACAGTTAGGGCTATTCTCGATTTGATTGCTCTCTAGTGAGCAAATGTTTGTTTGCCACTAGCCTTGAACTCCTACCTAATTCCACGTGTCTACCACATGGTTCAGCTGCAGTTAAGCAAGCAAATTAGCATAAGACAACCCTCCACCAATAGTAGTGCAACACACCATTAAATAGCAGCTGACTCACTCTGTGCAGTTGAACCCAATCTTCACTTCGAGATTAGACACAAAAAACAACACCAGAAGTGAAAAGGACGGGTGGGAAGTGTGAGAGGAGGTGTCTGTTGGAAATATATTTTCAGTGTAGGAAAATATTAATTTTTGATACGATTACTTACCACTTCTCAGAGTTACAGCTAGAATCCCACATTGAGCAGGTGGAGAAAGTGGTGTAAAATTACCTAGATGAGCACCCTTCAAAAGAATCTGAAGAGCACCCATGGAGTGTGCCACCACTATGTAGAGGAAATACACCCATGGGAGACTGCACCACATCTGAACCAGGTATACTCTTTGCCCAAGTAGGGCCAACTGGTGATGTGTCACAATCAAAGCGCAGAACAAGTGATCCATCCCAAATCCAAAAGGAAGAGGAATGTGTGTAGAGTGGCTAGGGCATATTGGACTTAATCGGTAGTTCAACTCCAGCCCAGACCAGTGGCACCAGGAGGGTTCTCAACCATTCACCTTGGGTGTAGGAACCAGAAGAGAAGAGAAGCCTCCATTTCGAGAATCTAAACCAATGTAAGTGCAAATCCAACTCAACCTGAATCAATAAACCCTGGGAATGTACAACCAGACGATGTCAGGAAGGTGGGAATGCAACATGGAGGGTCAATTCCAGTTCAAAAACAATCAACAGTGGGGACGTAACATTCAGTTTGTGGTAGGAGAAAGTGCCCAGCCCACTCACATGTGAGGACTTATGTTGGCTGGTCCAGTTCCAACCAAAACCAGTTGCCAAGAGACCGACATCCAAATGGCAGTAGGAGAGAAGGGTTCCCAGCCAAGGGGCAAAGTGCAAAATAGACAAAAAGTTCAGTCCAGACCAGTGGCATCTGGAATAAAACATCACACCCATAGTCACGCCTTCTACATAGGTAGAATAGCATTGTCCAACTCTCAACTGAGTGGAATTGTGCATATTCATGAGGATTACTCCATGATCCACCACACTGGTGGCTAGGAGCTGGGAAGTGGTAAGGACTTCCACACTCCACTGGAAGAAGGGGGAAAGAAATGTTAAGTAGACCCATAAAAAAAAAAAGAAACAAAAACAAGTTATCCACTCGGAGTTGTACCAACATATGGAGAACAGCTGCAGGGGGAAGACGATATCCAGCTAAGTAGGAAACCGACAGATGGTGCAAGTAGCTCGATTCCAAGGTGTGGGGAGAGGTCCACCTACTGGTTTATATAATCTCTTCTAAAGAATGACAGAAATGAGCAGCCAAGGGCATTGAGAGGTGACAGATCAGATGGGATGATATCCAAAACAACTGTCAAAATTCAAGAAAGAGGGAGGAATACACAATATGGATAAACTGACAAATGCAACCAGTAAGGGTGATAGGAGAAATATCATGAGAAGGGTGCTATGTGCAACACTGTAAAGCACAGGAGACAATCTTAATCAAAGCAGGAGTAAACATGGGATATGGAAGGAAAGGAAATAACTGGAGAGGAAAACACCGCAAAAACAGGTAAAAACAAAAGAGAGATGACAAGGCTGTCCTATAGCCCACAACGGTTGAAAAGGAAAGACCCCTGTGAAAGAACAATGGAAAAACAGATATCTGAGAAAGGGAAGAATTCATGCCACATGTACTAATGGTAGAATATTCTCCAGTTATATTGATACACAGACATGGATGAGGAATGGTCAGAGTGAGACAACAGGGATACTATATGTGAGGATAGTCCCGAACCCCTTGCAAGAGTGTGGGAACAGAGGGATGAAGCACCCTTGAGTGAGGTTGCCAGAAGAGGGACCAGGAGAGAGGGAGAGGTAATAGAGGTTGTTCCTGGAGAATGGACATTGAAGGAAACCACATATGAGCCAGCCAGAAAGGAGCCACAAAAAGGACCCAACATGGAGTGGATTGGATGAGAGAAATTACTTGGGGCACAAGATGGGTGCTAGGGTAAGAAAAGCTCCTTCCAATTCTGGCTGAACACATCCACAGCCAAAGCCAAACAATGTGGAACTGGGGACCAAAAGAGAGGAAGCTTGGCATTCTAATAAGAGGCCTATGCACTAAGTTGGGGAGTATCCAACTGGAAACATAGCTATCAGAATACCTGGGGGTTGAGAAACCACTCTGTGGGCAGAATCTTGTCGAGAAGGGACAGATGGTCAATGACAAGATTGGGGTACCGGGTATGTGACAAGCCAGCAAAGGAATTTGATGGCTGTGAGCCCAGAAGAGGAGACCTAGAATGCAGGAACAGAAGGACTGGGATCAAGTGCTCCTTTGACTGATGATGTAAGAGACAACTGTCAAGTTGACAGAATGAACCATAACTGTCATGCCCCACAGAGATGACAGAAAATGAACCATCACCTAATGAACAACAAGGAGTACCAAAAAATCGATGTGAAGACCCAATTCCTCCTGAGACCAATGATCTGAGATTTCTGTGTAATGCACCATGCACCCCCATCCAGACAGTGAGGCATCTGTGAAGACATGACCATCCAGGTGGGTAGAAGGAACAGGTACTCCCACTATCATGTTGTCCCTCCCTAACCACTAGAGGAAGTCAGACTGAAGGGAAATCTGTAAATTCAGAGGGTTCCTGATAAGGTGCCAATAAACTTGCAGTATTCACTGCAAGGAACACATGTGGGCATGGCACAGAGGGATAAGAGCTTCCAGTGATGCCCAAGTCCTCAAAAGAGACATAACCTCTTGCACAGAAGTGAAGGTGCTAGTAGTACCCTCTGAACAAAAAACTACATGGACTGCAGACGAAGAGATGGCTGAGCTCGACTGAGAGGTGAGTTGAAAAACATCCTCAGATGAAGAAGACAGTGAGTGGGGTGGATAATAGACTTCTCCACCTTGATAAACCAACCTACCTGATCAGCCTTTATAAGGAGAAATTGTGTGTATGAGAAGACTCTCAGTTGTCCATAAAATGATGAAAATTGATCTTGTGAGAATAAAAGAATCGGTTAAACGACCAGACCACCCAACAGAAAGTGTAGGGTGCTGATGCCAACCTGAAAGGAGGAGTTCAAAATTAATAAACATGATTCTCATGGATGTAACATAGCAAAAATGATGTGAAGCCTGAGCAATAGGGATGTGAAGATAAGCAACGGCCATGTCAAATGTTGTCAAACAGAGCCCTGGAAAAAAACCCATCTGAGAGACAATTAGGATTCCTTGGTGAACTGAGGCACAGTAAGGAAGCAATTCAGATGGGAGAAATCAATCACATGATGGCGATTTACAGTCCAAAAAGTTGAGAATAGGACCCTGGAAGCACAGGAGAAACCTGTCTGATAGCACCCTTGATGAGAAGGACTTGAACTGTTTCTGTGAGACTCTGGTAGGAAATGGGATCTTAAGGTTTGGGGGGAAGGAACCGGAACTGGGAATAAGATGTGAGGTGTAAGAAAAAGAGGGAGGGTTCCTCTGACAAAACTCAAGTGACCCAAGAGTTCATGGTAAAAGTCTTCCACACTTTTGAGAAATGAGTAAGCCTGGCTCCCACAGAAAATGGGAACTGAAGAAGGTGGAGGTTGGAAAAATGGTAAGATAGAGAAGTGTGCATTCTAGCAGATTCAACATGAGACTCCAAGGAATCTGGAAGCCCACCAAAGTTCATAGAAAAGTGGCTGATCGAAGAACTTGCAGGGAAGTCGAGGGGAGATGCACATGTATCAATGAGCATCCCAACTCAACAGATTCTAACAACACAGGAGACAAGTGTAGAGGGAAAGGGTAGATAAATTCAAACTGGACAAGTTGTTGAATAGGAGGGTACAGGCTTCCACTGAAAAACCCTTGGGAGAGCAACAGAAAGCCTTAGGCAATAGGTGAATGGACAACAAATAACGAAGGAATGTTGTGAGGGAGAAATGGAGGCAAGCAATTTATGCTTGAGAAAAATGCACTGAAGTATCTGTGACCATCGTTGTCCATCGAGAAAGGACTTGCTGAACGATGATATGCAAGTGCATGAGCATCTGCAGTACAGGGGGGCATAGTACACTAGCCCCCACACATAACTGATCTGCAAAATGTTCAGCATGGAACCCAATATCAGGTGAAGGGGAAAATCAAAAACTCAGAACTAGGTGCTGCAATCAATAAGAAAGGTTTGTTTGTTTGTTTTGAATTTCATGCAAAGCTACACGAGGGCTATCTGCACTAGTTGTCCTTAATTTAGCAGTGTAAGACTAGAGGGAAGGCAGCTAGTCATCATCACCCACTGCCAACTCTTTTACCAACAAATAGTGGGATTGACCGTCACATTATAATGCCCACATGGCTGAAAGGGCGAGCATGTTTGGTGTGACGGAAATTCGAACCCACGATGCTCAGATTGCAAGTCAAGTGCCTTAACCACCTGGCCATGCTGGGCCAATAAGAAAGGAGAGGGATCAAATGACATGGGTGACAAAGATAAAACACAACATACCTGTGATATCTAGTCTAAAAATGGTGACTGAAGTCAACGAGCTTCAACAGGCTAAGAAAGTACCTGCACAACAAAGGAATGGGTGGGGAATGCTGTCCAAGTCTGCATCATCCTGATTGAAGTCCTCAGATAATGGCAAAATTGTTTGTAGATTGGGATATCACTTGGCTTGTACAAAAGAAGCCATCTCTTGACGTAGTACAGCCTACACTTCCTCCGTTGATAACACCACATCTTGAGCCACTGTTGTGGGCTGTTGAATGCTGGTACCATCGGTAGCCATTGTAATCTTAATAGTAAATTGTGAACTCAAAAATATTGACTAACTACCAGTAACTGAGTGAGAAATAGAATTCACAATCAAATAAAAAGTCCAACTTGATAGTGGATTATAAACAATATTTGAAAAGGAAAATCAGTAACTGAATATTTTCAAAATGCACCGAAGGATAAAAATTCTGAAATCAAGCACTAGGTCTTAACACTGTCGTGCCAAATTGGGAAGTGAAGATTGAGTCAGCTGCAACAAGAAGGGTGTGTTGCACTCCTGTTGATGAAGGGTTGTCTCAAGCTAATTTGCATGCTTAAATGCATCTGAACCATGTGGAATTAGGTGGGAGTTCAAGGTTAGTGGTGAACAAAAATTTGCACACTAGTGCCCGGCCAATCGATAATATTTGTAACTGTGAGAGGAGGTAAGTAATCGGATCAGAATATGACCCCTTTTTTTAATAATGACATAAAGAAAAACAATAAACCTATAAATTATGTATCATGTGATTATTATATTTGGTTTCCTTTAGGATTTGTTCTTTCATTACTATAAGTGTTATAGGTGAGGACAGTATTAAAAAAAGTGTAAAAATTTACAATAACTTAAAAAGACAGACAGGTGTAATTCTTCAATATACAAAATGCATGCAAATCAGATTTTGAGTTCAAGGTAAATAAAATGGCATTTATAAAATATAACACTACATTAAACATTCATTTTTATCTGAAAAATGTTAAAAAGTAATAAATTACAAAGTAGAGATACAACAGGCAAGTGTTGTACCTGATGACGCTGTACTTCTTCATACTGGTGGTTAAGTTCTTCAGCCTGCCTTGCCCGTTCTCTCTGCCACTGTGTTCTTTCTTGACTCAGTTGTTCTTGAAGATTTCGGAGTTCCTCTAATTGGTGCTCAGGTCGATAGATGGAACGTCTGTCTTTTCCATCTTTCAAAGGCTGATCTTTATTTGTCCTGTTTAGTTTTTCATTTGATTCAATTAGCTGGACTCTGAGACTGAAAAATTGAGTAAAAAAGTTTATTGAGTAGCTACACACACAAAATGTGAAGCATGTATTTCAATATAGTTAAATACACTGTCCTTGCAAGAAAATAAATAGTTAAAATTAGTAAATTTTCCGTTTATAAGAATAAATATACTTTTTTGTGTACATCTAGAAAATATTAAATGCAGTATTATATGTGCTAATATCTATTTACCAAGATATTAAACTCAAATTATTATTTTAAGTAATTGTTATAACAAGACTTAGTGAGACAAATTAAGCTTCATAAACATGTAACCTGTAAATGGAATGTTCGCTGTAGATACATTATTTTCATATACATGCAAAATAATCGACATTTCTTACCAGTATTTTTGTTAAGATAGACTATGGAAGATGACTTATAAAACACAATGATAAGCAAAAAATGGTACTGATGAATGCTGAAAATTTTGATTTATTAACATTATAACTAGACATGCATGTGGGTAAAACAAAAGGTTTTAACTCACTTTTCAACATTAGTGAAATGATGTGATAGAAGACTCTGTAAAGAGAAATTTGTCAGAAAATCAATAATTTATAAGAATAAGAGAAGTGTATACTGATCAAAATTTCAGAACAAATAATTCATTAAAAATTCAATGAACCCAATAATTTCCAATGTTAGAGCTTTAAATGATAATAAAGCATAACTTACTCTATACATAAACTACTGATAGTTTCATCAAGGTTTCAGTTGTAGTTGTTATGCCTTTTGTTTCAACTACTACAATGTGACAATGTAATGGAAATTATATGAATAACAGCAACGATACTATTCAACTGCAAATTGATGTTAAACTTAATCCAGTTTGGGATCCAACATCTAATTAGAGATATAGGTATAAGCAACCAGTGGTTGTTGCTTTTTTCTGAACCTAGCATGCATTGTTCTTAAACTATTATGTGTAACCTAGACTGAAAAAATGACATTGTTGGTATGTGGCATGAAAAGCAACTTCCTAGATATCCTTGTTAGGTGAGTGTATCATGACGCAATTTAACAGAAACCTTGCACTGGTCTGATGTTTCTAAAATATAACTTTAATGTCATTCTACTGATGAGCAAAATACTCTTTGCATTACAAATGAAGGTTATCTTACACAATTACCTCTGAAGAAAATGTTTTTAATATTATCAGAAGTAACTATTTTGTTTGGATTAGTTCACAGATTAATATAAATGCCTAAAACTAACTCTCCTCAATAACTCAATTAATAAATATTCAATACCCACATCATCAAGTTAAGAAATCAGATGTTTTCTAGTTCTTTGTGATGTTTTTTGATGAAAACTTTCAAAAAGAACTCAAACATAATTTACAACCTATGTTAAACCCTCAAAATGTAACATAGGCTAAAACAGTTTTTTTTAATCTCTTAAATCTCTTTGCAATGAACTTTTCTGTTCATTCTGTAGGAACTGGTCACTGGATTAAGTAATTCTTTCTTCATGTAAACATGTATTAGCACGTTGCCTACCATGTGCCTCACAAGCAACTTTTAGGTATGGACAGTGACACACTGGTGGGTCATAGACAATTTTGTTTCTAGGCTAAATTTCTCTTGTGCCGTATGAGTTTGGGACAGTATGACTGCTCCAGCCTCACCACCTCTTAAGTGTTTAATTTTATTAATACTTAATTCATTAATACTACTGGTGGCAGCGAACGTGTTAAGAAACCTTAAAAACCAGGAGTAGATGTAATTTTTGAACACTTACTGAGATGAGAGAAGGAGCAGTGGTAAACCTCCAAGTAGAGTCACATAAAAATTTATATTCAAATCCCTGATGTTTACAGTTTAAGATCAAAACATACATTAACAAACCAAAAACTGAAGGTCCTTCTCCTAATATCAGTCAGTCAGTATTTGGTACATTAAGTTTCAAACTAAAATAAAATAAATAAAAAATACAAGTAAAAAAAAACAAAACTACCAAATTTTTGTCTTAAAAAAGTATAAAAGTTTAACAACTGAACAATGCACATATATAGACACAGATTCAATCTTGTATGTATACATAATACTTCCTGAACATCTTTAATAACACAACAACAAATGAGTGTGTCATACAGAACAAGTACTGTTTAACACCGTATTTTAGTAGAATCAGTTGAACATACTGTTAAAGTGTTTAAATGGTGTGTTAATTCTACAATAGCTTCTAGTTGTTCATTTCCTTGTGACAACAGAACAGGAGTAGTACTCAGTCGAAGTAGTTCATTTGATGAGGGAGGGTCTTTCTCACTAGGAGTTGAGACCTGGGGAGAAGCATTCCCAGAGGTTGTAAAGCTTCGTCTTTTAGCTTTCTCCTATGAGAAGAAATAGTAAGTATTAATCAACACTGTTCATCATAGTAATTCCAATTTTCTTACTGAATATCATTAAAAGTATTCCAATATTTGATACAGAGAGTGATGAATAGACAACAGTTAAACTAGTGATTATCAATTTCATTTAAATTAAAAATAACACAATGTTGTCATAAATTAGACATGTAACAAACACATACACACTCTCTCTCAAAATCACAGTAACTATATTAACTTACAAACATGCCAACTTTTCAAAGGATCACACACACATCTAAATGTCTTTGAAATTACTATAATTTAATTATTCATTAAAAAAGTTCTTATAACAGTTGATTTAATTCTTTACTATTACAATCAAAATACAAGCCATCGAATCAAATATTTATATTTGTTTCAACTAACATGAATTACACTGCTAAGCTGCTGCTTCCTAGTTTGCATAACTTAACATATACCTGTATATGTATCACCACTTACATACCAAAAACTCATAGATCAGCTACTTACAGGACTTCCAGGCCCTGAAGAAGTTTTACTTGGAAGTGGGCCACTTGCTCTTCGTACTTCTGCACCCTGAAAAATAGAACAATTGTAACATACATCTTTGTCAAAAAAAGCAAAATCCACTTATCTTATTTGGATCTGGCATAGATTAGAAAAGCTGAGCTTGCTGAAGAATTTCATTAAGAAAAAAGCCTGAAAATAATCAAAGTTTTGTAAATCTAAACTACCATTTCCATGTACAATAGATTATTACCAGAAAAATAACTACTGAGAACAAATTTGAAAGTAGCTTATTAAGTCTTAATTATAATTTCTATCCAAGCTATGAGTAAAAACAAGTGTATACATGCCTACAAGATATATTCAATAACCTCAGTCAGCACACTAGTACCATCTTTCATGCAGAAAATGAATAAAGAACTGAGAATGGTTAACTTCGATACTAAACAAGTGTGACTGTGTTTAGTTATTTGGTAGTTTATGCTAATAAAACCAGGAACTTTTTCCTACTCTCTCACATCATGTAACTTCTGCATTTTGATATCACAGTATGTTATATGATTAACAAGATATTTAATGCTTCTCATTTGAGCTGGTACTTCTAAAATTTACCTTAGATCCTACATGTTTAACTTGATTTCTGGCAGAACACCTTTAGGTTTATACAGCAGATTTCTCCTAGCACTAACTATTCTACATCATTAATATGATTTTCAGTGATTCGCTACTAAACTGTTGGAGAAAATCCTGTTAACACTCTCTGTTAAGCATATGAAAAATTGCCCCCTACTATTGAACCTTCTAAGATATTAATACATGAGTTCTCATATTATCACTTTGAGTTGATGGCTAATATTCCCTATCACTGTTTCTACCACAAAATTAATGTAAATTTTGCTGTTTTACTTTGTTGGACTAATAGAAAACATTCTCTTTATATTGTAACTGCTACAAGATTACTATAAGTTATGGTGTTATGCATTTAGGCTGATGAAGGACATCCACTGCAAAAACATTGTAAGATTAGTGTGATATTTAAATACTTTTTCCTGTGCTAATAAATACATTTTTTAACCACATTTTTCTGTCAACACAAATTTTAATAGATTAATCTTAATATCCTACTTTCTGGAGTGCAAAAACGTACCTTTACTTGTAGATAAGAATCCGGAATGTCTTTCAACAAAGCTTCATTGTCCTTTGGAGTATACAATGAATTCTCACCAGATGACTCTTTCAATTGAAGTAATTTCTTCTTTAACATCATCACTAAAAAGTAAGATATAAAAATCAGCTAGGCTACCATATATATTACAAAATCCATTCATATTAAAAAATACAAGTATATAAAACATCTCTGACCAAGAACAAAACAAAAAGACAGCAACATTTACGTAGGGAAATTCTGATTTTAGTCATTACAAAGTTTTGTCCCATAATATCATGTCATGTAACAGTTACATTCAATAAAACAGTTTGAATTTCTGAGAATTTTACAAAAACGTGATGATGAAGAAAATATTTGTAGATGGCATTAAATTAGCTTTTTAGTAAAATGAGATGAATAAAATGTGGTTATAGATAAAGGGGATATTACTAGATATTTATTTAGCTTTGGCTTTGATGACTTTATCAATAGTCCTTCAGCTATATTTCTTCTGTTGATGTCTGGTTATCTTTGAATGATTTTGACACTCAAAAATGTGTGAAGATGTTCCTTAAGTCTGATGTTCATTTCTCCCCCAGTTTCTCAGATATAAAAGTGTTGCATTTGATTCTGTAGATGACTCTGTTGTTTCATTTTCAATGGGGTAATTGTTGATAAGATTCTTGATTTTAAGTCCTGGCTTTTGATTGATTAAGGTATTTGGGTTGAAGTTGTGTTTCTTCATGAGTAGTTTCTATAATCCAATTAGGTTCATGCTGATGTATTTGTGAGGAACTGTATTGGTGATAAAATTGTTTTATTTTTTTAAGATTTGTATTTTTGTTTTCTTCAATATGTTAATTATTCTATTAATGACTTTTTCAAGGTAGTTGTTTGTTGAATGAAGACTTCAGAAATTCTTTGAAAGTCACTGGCTAAACTTTTTGTAGAACATATATTAAATGTTATTTACATAGTACAAAGTTTCTAGTTTCTGTTGTATGGAGTTTTGATGTATAAAAATCTCCATACCCAAATACCAAAAGAAAAAGCATGCTGTAGAAACAGCTGTTATTTTGAATTAATTAATTCTTGAATTTCTCATCAAACATTAGAGAAGACATCAATTCCATTACAGATATCAACAAGACATAAATTCTATTATAGATATCACCATGACACTACAGCATAACACCTAATAAGGAATATTTTAGTACTATTTATTCACTGCATACAGTGAATTATCAAGTTTCTTTCACAATCACTTGTTCATTTCTAGTTAAGCACAAAGCTACACAAAGGGCTATTTGTGCTCTGCCCACCATGGGTATCGAAACCATATTTCTAGCATTGTAAGTCTGCAGACATACCGCTGTGCCACTGGGGGGCCAATCACTTTTTAGTTAAAACCTGCACAACAAGAGTACAATACATTAAATGTTTCAATGGTCGTTGTTAGGGTCTGACTTTGTGAAAATGAGATATTCAGTAACAGCACTGATACAGTTTGTGCATCTGCTTCCATACTTTATATAGTTTGTAAAGGGGCCAACTTGCTGCCTGCTTAAACTGTTGCAGACCATTAAAATGCAAGTATAACAAAATATCATTACAATTTACAGATGAACATTTTGTACATTTTGTCTGTTTTCATGAAATCCCACAGACCAGTGTTCAAGTAATATTGCTTTAGAGAATTTAGTCGAGGACTTCTTAATGTTCTTCTATTGATTTTTCATTAAGGGTATCTATCACTATCCTGAATAAAGCATATGTTATCTGGCCATAGGACAGTCTAGTTTGATTGCACTTGCAAAAGTTCATGCAACTAAGTCCAATATCAGGACAATACATTGTCAAGCAGTAAACTCATACCGTAAGAAGTGCAATAAGACATGTAAATCCATTCATGCCAGTGCCTCCCATCTCACTAATCACATTGCTCACCACAGTCTCTTCAGATACAAACATGTCAATCATGAAAACTTGAATCATCTTTGAAGATTATAGGCACCCAACAGTATTGATAAAAATTCTGATGATCTAAACAAAAGTTCAAATGGGGGGTTGAAGCATTAATCTTCTCAGCATTAATCTGAATCAACATGTCTACATTTTACTGTTTAATCAGTGAAAATCAGTTTAATCATTTTCTGTCCTTAATTTCATATTAAGTCCATAGGCATTGGACTAGTAATTCCTAATGGCCACATTGTGTAGATTTAATTTTTGATAGTGAGCCCACAGATTTAGATTTATCAAAATCAGCTGCCACATATATTAGTGTTTAACTAGTTTCCAGCTGTTGAACAGCTCTAAAAGTCTGGATTTTGATCAATAAACCTCCACCTACTAGTCACATAACATTGTCAATGAATTTTAAGATAACAATCAAACAAAAAATGAAGTGATTTCCAAAACAGCAAGTGATCAAATTTGAAGTAGAGATCCAGATTCATAGTAGTAATTTTCCAGACCACATTCAGAGTTTGCCCCTTTAACTCTCAGCATGGGCTCGGTCCAACCTCATAACCATTTTGTAAGTGTTATAGTTTTCATGCTATAACTTTTAAATTAGTATGCAAATGTTAACGAAATTTGGCAGATTATCAGTAAACATTACAATGCTTTCATAAACAAAATATAATTTTTTTTTATTAAGCCGTAAAGTTTATAAAGCAATGTTTCTCTTATGCCTATTTTTATCTTTTCACATGTTGCCTATCTATCATGCAAAGTAATTTTCATTTTAAAATTAAAAATACGCTTATGCATCAAACAATTTTGAAATTTCACATGAG